CGCCGTTGCCTGCTGCTGCGGCTGTCAAAACCACTGGTTGTCGCCGTCCGTCGAGTGCTTCGGGGAGGGTTGAGGCGCCGGTAGAAGAAAGAAAAACGAAAACTAAAACGGGGGGGAAGAAGAGGCTCACGAATGGGAGGGGTTTTAGGGGCTAGGGTTTTCTATTACCTTTCTTTTGTTTTTTTACAAGAAGGGACCCACTTGGGCTAGGTTGTTTTCTTTTTCCCTCTTGTTTTAAAACAAGGAAGACCCACTTACCTAGATACTTAATTTGTGCCCAACGGACTAGAACAATTGTAGAGAAAACAATTTCCTCGTTACACAATAATTAGATACGTAAGTACACTTCAACACTCATAACAATTACCACAGCAGCTCGAAATAAAATGAAATGAAACAATGAAATTAAATAAAAAGAAATTTCTAAGAAAAGAGGCCCGGAGACTCGAGGGTAAACTAACCTGAGTAACGCGGGGCGTTACAATACTCACTTTGAATTTCTATCTTGTAGTCATCATCGTGTATTATTGCTAGCACTTGGAAAGAAATTCTTCTCTTTGGTTCAAACTCAAGGTACAATTCTTGAGCATATGTTAGGAATTTCCTTTCCTTACGATTCGGTCTAAAATTTTCAAACATGGATAAGTTTGACTTCAGCTTCACAACTTCCTCCATTTGGCTCCATCTCATCATTTGGATTTCTTCTTTATGTAAGTCCTTAAAATTAACACAAAGAGAATTCAAGTTAGTAACAACTTTAAGATTTAATTCATACTTACCTTGTGGGGCGATCTAAAAATCATGAGATGACGGTATGGTGAGTCCTTCAAGCTTTAGTTGGTCTGTTGGGTGTGTTGCCCTAAACTCGTAGTTTGTATTTTGTAAAAACAAATGTCTATTTAATAAAGTTTTTATTCAATAAATTTGTTGTTGAATCATAGCTTTGCATTGTCCAAAATCCAATAAACTAAACATCCAAGGTTATTTATGATGTAATCGGGACAGTATATATACTGGGTATATAGTTGATATACGGGGTATATATTTGATATACCCCTGATATATGAATGGATAATGTCCCGTGAATAACCTCAAGGGTCTATAGTATATGGATAAGGCTGGGTACCTTGTCCTGGCAACACTATGGATACGGCCCACTCTTTAAAGGTTACAGACGACTCGATCCAGGTCGTTCGTGTGGAGACATGCGAGTGGGGGTATCCTATACAATGAGTTTGTATAAGACCGGACCGCGAAATAGGCAATCTTTAGGTGTAACACCGTTAACTAATAGATTGCTATTTCTTAGGAGGACCATACAACTCATTCTCAATCCTGAGTGAGTTATGGACTCCTGCCCGTGAGGACTCGTCCTTTGATCTGTATGGGTGAGAGTGGCCCTAGTTGCCGACTCAACATTCCTACCATTTTGGGGACGAGACCGAGTGGGGAGCTGAGAACATAACTTCACAAGATGGAATTCACTCCTTCCCGACTTTAGGGGAGTAGGTGAGTGCTCCCTTCAATGTTGACTCCGGGACTTGAACAAGGGGCCCTACCCTCTCATTGGCCGAGAGGGACTTCCGGTTATTGGTTGGACCATAACCGGGTTGTTCATTAGAGGAGCAGTGGTGTTTAAGCAGTAAGATGTAACTC